TGGGTGGACCCTGATCCAAAACCCTCTACTGCTGGAAGCCCGCAGTGACTAAAGGGGGACAATATTGACATTAGGGACCGTTATGGTGCTCGGCGCACCGGGATGAGCGAGGACGAAATCCCGGGGCGTTACATTTTGCCCATCCGCTTGTACGCTTTGCCTTTTCCTCTCTATTAGGGTTTCCTCCATGTCACCCTCGAACCATAATTTCTTAACACACCTAAACTTGATTGCATTAGATATATACATGCATTCTGCTTAGACCAATGAAGTCATCTTCCGGTATAGGTAATTTCCATACCTTAGTCCAAATTTTGGTAAGGAGGATGGGGAGTACGACTTTGGTGTATTTAATCTTTAAGTTTTGTGAGGTTGTTATAAAGTTGTTGGATAATGGAAAAGTTTATATTCTTGGTTTGGAGTTACCAAATGTTGTGGGCAATAATACGGTTAACATTCGTTGGCTTGGTGGTGCCACGGACATTCGAACCAAGCCAATAAGCTACCATGGCTTGATTCTGTCTTAAGGAATTGAAGTTTATGCATGTCGACCCCTTTTTTTTTACTTTCCCTTCTATAGCCATAAGAGGTGAAATGTGGGGAATATCATGGATTGGGTTTTGGAGGTGAGGGTTTTGCATGATGGGAATATCTAAGGCTTTGTTAATATGTTGATGATCTAAATCATACTCACCTCCGGCATACCATCACTTCTTTGGATAAGGTTGTTGTAGAAGATGTCAACCACGGTTGGGTGCCATTGTTCGGCTTTGTGGCATAATAGATTCTTCCACCCTCGAATTCGTATCTCTTTGCAAAAAGAATTGCTTTGCCATGGGGTCTTCCATCACCTTCCTATAGAACTTTTCTGGAAGAACCTTCCTACCTCCTTCAATTGTGACTAAAGTCATCGAAGTTTGAGAGAGAAAAAATTGATTTCAAAATTTTGAAAAAAATGAAAAAAAAATTTCAAACTTTTTGTCTGAATCGCACGAGGCGAGTTGGGAAGAAAAGCTAACTCGCGCAGGGCGAGTTTATCTGAAAATAAAAATCGAAATTCCTTTGTGAATTTCAATAGATTTCGGTTGAAATTTAGAGAAGAGGGAGAGAGAGAGAGAGCTTAATTTGTAAAATGTATTGTTTGAGGGAGAGAAGTGAGGTTTATATATTGGTTTCTTGAGGAAAGTGAAGGGTTTATACATTAAGTTGTTTTATTAACTTTTGTTTTAATTCACTAAACTCTTCATTTTCCACCATAACACACATACATGAATCAATTAAAGTGACTCTTCACTTCAACTTCCTTTAATGTGTTCCCACGCTCTCTAACTCGTTCTTGTTAACGCGGTCCCAATTAATGTACCCTTTTCATTATTATGTGTGAATGTGACCATTAAGTGTTAAAATGGTTTATATATGTAAAAATTGGTCCATTAATTAATTAGTTTCGAATTCCAATCAAACCTATGTGTATTTTTAAGTTGATGAGAAATTTTAATCTTCTAA